GTCAGCCCCGCCTGCCCGGCCTGGCTAAGTGCGCCGGGGAGAGGAGCAGCAGGCTTGCGGGTATGGTCACTCCATGGCTGAAACAATCGTGTTCTGCAGGAGTAAAACGACAAACCTAGGGGAACAGACGGCCCTAGACTCCATAGGCAGCAGGGACGCTGCGGGCGAACTAGCCTGAAGCCGGGACCTGGATGTGGGGGCAGCTGTCAGCCACAGACCAGACTTAGACATGGCATCGAGTGTGTTCTAGACCAAAAGAGTGAAAATGCAGGAGCGGGGGGCGAGGGGGGTAACCGGAGGCTCAGCCCCAGCTCCAGAAGGAACTGGGCGAGGTCAGAAACAGCTTCATCGCCAGGTTCCCTCCTGGTTGGACCCTCAATTGGAAAACAAACCGCCGGGGAGGGGACGGGGTGAAATGGGAGAGAGACCGTGGTGTGGGAATTAGCAGGGAGGCGCCTGGTAGCCAAGAGCTGAGGTCCAACTGCTGGAGGCCTTGCAAACTGAGACCTAAAGTAACTACAAAGGATGATGTGAGATTAAAACTTTTAAAAAATATATATGTATTTTTATTGATTTCGGAGAGGACGGGGAGGAGAGATAGAAACATCAATGATGAGAATCATGGATTGGCTGCCTCCTGCACGACTCACACTGGGGATTGGCCCGCATCCCGGGCACGTGCCCTGGCAGGGAATTGAACAGTGACCTCCTGGTTCATAGGTTGACACAGCCACTTTTTTAACGAAAAGCAGTTTATGGTGGGTAGTCGTGTCCTAGGCCAGTATCTTCCCTGATGGTCCATCTTTACCTTATCTGAGCCTGTCTGTTGTCTTTTTGCATCTACGGTAATGTATCGTTGGAATGTCAAAGTAATTTTCCTCTTCCTGGACCCCTCAAAACACAGGCAACGCTCTAGGGAGACTCCAAAGCCCCTCATTGTCATTGAGTTCATTGTTGACTGTTAACTATCTTGTGCCCACCTAGTAAAAGAAGGGTCTGTCACTTTACTTTCTATCCAATCCCAGAGGTTTCCCGTTTTGCTTTCTCCCTCCTCCCAAATCGATCTCCAGTGGATTTCACATAGCCCACATATGCCTCCTCTTTTGATTATAAAGTGTAAAACAAGGTGCAAACTGCCATTCTCCGGAGCATGATCTCAATCCGCTGAGAGTTTGCTTCTCAGCAGTTGTTGACAGTTTTGGCTCAAATAAACTCACAAAAAGCCTTCACAGGTTTGCACGTTTCTGACGATGACATCTGTCCCTATCAGGCTAGAGTTCAAGCAGGCCCAGATGAGTTCAGATGAAGGCGGGCAGGGCAAAACCACCAAGGCTCTTCATCCGCCCGGTGACTGAATTGGAATTGGGACCGAACGGGCCAGGAAAGCCACTGTGACACAACTCGGCCCCAAACTCTGGTGTGAAGATGACCTGAGACAAGTGAAGGTGTCCCAACAAACCCTAAACCCTCAGCTCCTTCCGGCTACCGAGAGGGGCCCTAAGGCCCAGTGAAGAGTTTCCGGAGTGCACACAGGTCTGAGTGAGGCCAGTCGGAACTGAGCACCTGGACAGGTATCACCCTGACCCTGCCATTACTGCTCTCACTGGCAGTAACTCATAGAACTTAACACCATCAAAAACCAGACCATGGGCTCAGCTGGTGTAGCTAAGTGGTTGAGTATCGACCTATGAATCAGGAGGCTGGGGTTCGATTCCCAGTCAGGGCACATGCCTGGGGTTGCAGGAGGCAGCCAATCAATGATTCTCTCATCATTGATGTTTCTCTTCCTCTCCCTTTCTCTCTGAAATCAATGAATATTTTAAAAACACCCCATAGTTAGCTGATGTGAATAAATACAGTAATAGATCCAGACAGTTCATTTCCACAAATATTTATTGAGTGCCTGTTTGCAAGAATGAAGAGATGGTCCCTGCTCTCGCGGAGCTTCCAATTTCATCCCTCCAATGTTTGAGGACATTTAACAGCAGCTACAATGAGCACTTGGCTTTGTCTACCTGTCAGTGGCACTCTGTGAAGAGAGTCCTCCTCATTATTCATCACTGTTACAGTGAAATTGTAAAACATGATTATCTTTGAAGTCTGCAGTCATAGTGGTGACACGGTACATGATGTCCAGCCAGTGCAAACTTATGGCTTGATTCCTCCTCTCTGAGAGGGTCTACTGAAATGAAAACACAAATCAGAAGGGAAGAGCTTGGTAACGCAGGGCCCAAGAACACCGGTGCAGTTTAATGTTTTATCAAACGCCTGCAAAATCTGTGCATCACAATCGGTTCCTTCGGACCCTGCGAATCCCAGGACCCCGTGAGAGCCCCTAGCGGGATTTACCTCTGACCCCTAAAGAGCTCTGCGTATACATTTATTTTTTAAAGCTTCTTAAAGACTCACAGCATGTTAAAATTTAATGAAAAATATTTGAAATATCTAAAATGTTGAGTTTTACTACGTATATTAGTGCAGAGTTCAGAATTCAAACAGCATTCAGCAAAGCACCTGGCTTTTCTACTTTAAAAAGGGGAGCATAAATGAATCATTCATTCATCTGACGTGCAGTGGCCCTGCCTTCCTGGCCATCACCTTGAGATGTCGAGTTATGGAACACTCCAAGGACCAGGAGTTTCATTACATTGGCTATTTTTTTTTTTTTAGAACAGCCTATATTTATATCAAATAACCCCCAAGGCACCAAAGAAAAAAATGCCTTCTTTGTTCTTACACTCAACAGCTTATCAAGTTTTTTTATAAGTCATTTTAAAAAACCACATACCAAAGGAAAGCTCATTCAAACTCCATGGAACCTTTTTTTTTGGCTAAGCGGTGGAGAGAACATCTTGGACCACCTCATGGAGATGTCAACCAACCCAAGGTAGTTTTTAAGTCAAATGCTTAGAACACAATCTACTTTTCTATTTTAAAAAGTACCCAATAGCCACTTGAAAGGCCTATTTCATTCCGGATGAAGCTGAAATGTGCTATTTACTGAAATCACACTAAGCACCAGGCACTTGACAGAAATATCCCGGAATGGAAGTTTCATTCCACCACTAGGCGAGCGCACCGGGTGTGGCCCAGGTCTGCCAGGCTCGGGCCCCTGCTGCCCCGTCCTACAGTTACTGAAGGGATAGGAGGGGGCGAGCCCACATAAGAGCTAATGATTTGCTTTTCAAAAGGCACTTGATTCTGTTGCTGAGTGATTCTGAGTAGCTGGTCTTTACCTGGTGCAGGAGTGGCGCTCAGAGGGAACTTGAGATCCTTGCCCGGAGCCAGCCACACACCCTAATGGAGGGACGGCTGGCTTGGTGCTTTATAACTAATTGCTACCAAGAGCCACGTGAGGCGGAGAAGCAGCTAGGAAGTAAACCAAGTCTAATACCTGAGCATTTTCAAGGGGACTCGACTGTGAAAGCTTGGAGTCAGTCTGTGTATCGACAGGAACCAAGCGTGAACATGTGGGCATGGGGTTCTGACTGGCCACTGAAAAGCAGGCAGCTGAGCAGCCTGGACTTGACCGGCTGTCAAGACACACAGCTGCCAGAGCTGCTGGTCAGAGCCCGGGCTCCTGCCCACGAGCTGCTCCTGGGGAGCTAGAGCCATCCACAAACTCCCTTCCGCCACCAAAGCTGCTCTGACCTAGCCTGGCACCCTCACAGCAGCCACTAGGGGCGTCCTTTTTCTGGGGCAGGGATGGGGGGGTGGGGTCAAATCTCTGCAGGATGACTGGCAGCTGCGCCCGGGCATGGAGGAAAGGGGGCTCCCTGTACAGCCTCACTGGGTGGTCCCTGAACTTCATCAAAGCTTATCTATCACTGACGGTCAAGGGCGGGACACAAGTTACATTCAGAATGATGGGCAGGGACTACAGCCCTCCAATTGTTTAACTTTCTCTGAAAAGCATATATATGACAAAATTAGAAAATTACATCTTTCTATTTTCTTTCCTTACAAATAAATAGAGTTTAAGGGAAACAAAATGAGTGAGTTATCCATGCAGTTTTGAAAGCTTTCCAGCGTCCCATTATTGCCGATATTGCCGTTATGACTAATCTAATATTCACTCTAAGACAAATGTGTCAGACAGGAATCGCATTAGCGCTTTTAAAAGCTCAGAACTACTAAATCCAGGATGTGCTGTAATTTTTTTTGCATTCAGCGTGGATTAGCCTACCATTATGAAAACTGTTCTGAAGCATTTAAAAAATTTTTAAAAATCATATTCACGATGTCGAACAAATTTACAAAACGGGTGTGAAGGTACCTGTAAAAGGATGAACACTATTTGTTTAGAGACCAGCTGCCTCCCACAGTCACACTTCCTTATTCTTGATATAAACTGGAGACATATACTATTTAAAAATAACACTTTTTAAATAGTAAAATATACAAGATTCCTGAGCATAACAAAAATATCTTGGAAGTCTGTGGCCGTTAGGAGTATAAAAGAGCAAGTGTCATGATTGTAGAACTACGGCGTGAAGGGCTACAAACAGTAGAAAACGCTCCGCCTCCCAGACTGCTAATCACACGTCAGTGCAAATGAAGCGGCTGGTTTAATGGCTACACGGGGCGGAGGTGCGCGGAGGAGCGCAGGACGTGGAACTTCTTCAGCGTCATGCGCACGGAGCCCAGCTCGCGGTTAATCCGCTCCAGGCGGTCCTCCAGGGCTTCCTAGGCGGAAAGACGGGAGAACGTCATTAGAATCTACGCCAAGTTCACTGGCTCCAGTCACCACGAGATGGGCCTTCCTTTTGGCAAAAGAACAATATACACATAAAACCGACTATTTTGTTAACATTTTTGTCACTTCTTTTAAATTGCACAATGTGAGTCAACTTTTCAACCATCTAAGTCACTTCTGCCCCGTGTCTCCTCAGTATGGTCAGATGTGGGGGTTCCAGCCACGGTGACACAGGGACGGGAGGGAGCCCTCACCAACCATGCCGAGCTGAGAAAGCACCGCCCTCCCCCAGAGGTAACAGACAGATGAGCAAAAATCAATACGTGACTACTGTTCTCTTTACTGTTTTCCTGCAGATGTGCTCCCATCTTTAAGAAAATTTTAAAAAGAATTCATCTCTCTACTTCCGAATGTTTTTCAATCGAACTTGTCTTGTTATATCTTTCTACAACACTGTTTTAAATTAAGTGCAACATTCCATCAGATGTACCATATTTAACCTAGGACCTTCTGGTAGAAATTTAGGTGGCTTCTAATTTTAGCTATCACAAATAAGGCTGCAATAAATATTCTTAAATATATCTCCTTGCGTCTATCTGTGAGGATTGCCTGAGGAACCATTCCCAGACATAAAAGCGCCAGGTCCAAAGGGAGGCAGAGTCCGACCACTTGGGACAGCTGTCAGCCGCACTCGGGGGAGCGTGACACCTTCCACTCCACCTGCAGGGTGTGCTGACGCGCTTGCCCCCACCCAGTTACTGTTTTTAAAAAATACCTGCCAATGTTGATCCTTTTGTTTAAATGTGTGGTTTTCTTTTATTCATTGCTGAGGCTGACTACTTTTCACATATTTTATTTTGTTGCCCAATTTAACTTTTTCACTTATGAATCATATACAAGCATCCTCAGGCCCTTTCTGCTGCCATTTGGCTTCACGAAACTGAAAGAGCTTTGACATACAGGTGGGCAAATGGAAAATTACAATAATAATAATAATAACAATAATAATAATAATAGAAGAATAAGCTGCTCCGCATACCACCCAGTATATGAACAGAAACTAGAGCCCTTTGAGTCTTACAATAATAATAATAATAGAAGAATAAGCTGCTCCGCATACCACCCAGTATATGAACAGAAACTAGAGCCCTTTGAGTCTTACTTTAAGAGCTCACGAAAATGTATATATTAGGCAAATGTTTCAGACAGATTTAGGATCGGAGCACCAACATTTCTCCTGCCTTCCCAGTAAACTATATTAAGAGTTTTGTGTGTTGTGTCTTACAAATTATTAAATAAGAACTTTCAGAAAAGCAAAACCAATAAAAAGACTTAAAAGTCAGATAAAAGGAGAAGTTAGGGCTCCAGGCCCTGGAAAGAGCCCAAGACTGTCTGTGTCCGATTTTCCTTCTGGTGTCGCAGTGCAATCTGGCGATCAACTTCCCCTGAAGTCAAGGCCCGGAGAAGCCGACAGGCAGCTCCATAAGACACACAGGGGCCGTTATGCTTAGATGTTACAACAAGAATAGTTTAACTGTCCTGTGGCTTCATGCACTTTCATTCTTGGCCACGCGCCTGCCCCACCTCCTGCTCAGTGATGGAACCACACCTTCCTCTACAGCTAGGCCATGTGCTCCCATGTTCGTTTCTCAAAAACATAAGTGTGCGTTTTTCTTGAAATGCAAAGGTAAAATCAGTTTTTAATACTGAAAGCAATCATGCAGTTATGAAAATATGTTATGATCACCAAACGCTTCCTGCAGAGGCTGAGTTCTGACTGCCTGTGTCCACGTGCCTAAAAGCAAGATTTAAAACCATCTGGTAAATAGGGCGGTCAGCCTCGGAAGCAGACTGGAGCTGAGACATCTCACCTGATTTAATCTCGTCTGCAAAGTGACTCGTCCTCCCATCGAAGGCATCCGACTGAGGGCAGCCTCAATCTGTCAACACAAAAAGGCTTAAATAACGACAGGAGAACTCGCATTGCTGGCGGGGTTTATCACAGAGCTAAAGGCAAGACCTCAGCCTCCTATTTCCTTGTCCGTCTCTTCCCTAAGTCCCTGTCATGATGCGCAGCACCAGCTCGGCTCACATGTGTGGCTTTGGTGTGAAATTCACAGCAACTTCCTGGGGTGGGTGTCACTCACTGACTCCTCTGACTGGTCCTTAGCCACAAGCATTAAGTTCAGAAAAAGAGGAAAACAATTTTTTGTTGCTTTTACCTGGTCTTTTTCTTTTGTAAGTTCATCAAAAAACCGTTCCGTTTCCGCCAGGGTCCTAATTTTCGCGGTGTACTCAAAGTCGTGGGCACGAGCTCCGGCGGCCGGACACTGTGCACTGCCCGACTCGCCCGTCCCCGCGGCGCTCCCCGTGGCGCCCTTCGCTCCACTCGGCGGCAGTTCAGGGGCAGAGCTATGACTTGCATGGGTGTCGGTGGCTTTTTCTGAATATTTTTTTTCTGTTAGAGAGAAAATAAATGCCTTTAATTTCTTATCAAGTTTTCGAATAGCTCGTATACACACTACATAAGTTCCCCCCTTCACTTTCTGGAAAGAGCTGCTACGGGACCAAACAGCAATGAAGGCAAAGCCCTCCATCACAGTTCCTCAGAGCTGCTGCTCCACAGAACCTAGAAAGTCTGCCTCAGTGGGACAGTCCTCCCGAAACGACTCCGGAGACTCCCTGTAAACCTAAACTAACTTCCAAACTAAACAGCACATGTATAGCAACACTAAAGGGTTAACCTCTCAGGGGCCTACCCACGTGACTTCATCTACACTATCTTATACCTTTATTCCAAACTTAAGATATAAATGAGAAAAAGAAAAAGACTCCCCAAAGCCAAGGCTGCCTTAAAAACCAGAGACTATTCAGTGGAGAGAGGCCCGTCCCTCCGTTTCCCAGCTTCTCAGAGGATACCCACACTGACCCAGGGGAGCGCCCGGAATGCTCATTTACCAAGGACTTCACTGCAGGATATTATAATATATAGAACCTTGGAGAGATACCAGAAACTCACAAAACGAATGACTAAAACCAAAGCTAAGAATTTTGTAGGAAAAGATACCTTCCGCGTCATCTAGAGGAAGAAACTGGAGTTGTTTTCTTGGATTGGTACGTTGTAACGTAGACACGGGAACAGTATCTAAATCATCCAAAAGTATATCAAATCTATTGAATGAAGCAAGTTACTTGTGAGAAAACACTGTCAACTGATTTTCCCTATCGCCACTAGAGAGACGAGCTGGCATCCAGGTAACTCACACACTGACATATTTTTAGAAAGAAAACTGGTCATATAATTTTTCAAAACTGAAATCTAGTTTGTTTTCTGATACAAATCAGACTCGCAGCATTGCCCGTGGTCTCCTGTCCGCCTTCCTAACCACCTGACGGGATCAGCAGGGCAGCTGTTATCCCTGTTCTACAGAAGAGGAAACGTCCTGCGCTCGAGGGGTTTCCCCAGGAGCCCCTGGGGCGGGCTCAGCAGGAGCCAGGGCCGCCCCGGAGCGCACGCTGCTGACCACGTCAGTGAGGCCACTTCTCAGGAGCCCAGGTAAACTGACGCTCAGGGCCACGGCCACACTGCACAGCCCACGACCTTGTACCATAAGCCTTTTCAGGAAAACAAAGAAGTGTCGTCCTACAGCCAAAGCCGGGAGGAAGGGGCTCTGAGACGGTGCTGGACTTAGGAGTAGCCCGTCACACCGTTACAAACTATTTTCATGTATTATAGTATTTTTAACTTTTAGTATGACATTCATTGATATGATTTAAAGCCAGAGAGTTCCCATTAACTGAAAAATTAATGATAGCTAGAGGCATAAGTTGACATTTTTTTAAAAAATTAATAATATACATATTTTATGCTACAATTTTAGAGAACTTACCGAATTGGACTGCTTTCGGTTTTGCTAAGCAGATGACTAAATCCTGGGGACAAATTTTCTTTAGGGGACCGCTTTGGACTATAAGCCACAGTCACTGGTGTTAACATAATCTCTCTTTTCGCTATAGAAGAAAACGAAGAGGAAATATTCTTTTCCTTCTCTATAATACATGTGTTATATTGGCAGAACATATTCTTCAAAGAAATACAATTTCATTGAAAGCTTTTTGAAAGACAAATAAGAGTATGAAGAATAAAAATAAAATAATTCCTAACCCTGACACCAAGAGGGGACCACAGCCAACATTTTATACAGCAGGCGGTAGCTGTGGCACGGGCTCAGAACTGGTTTTTCAGGATTTTAGAAGTGGACTGGAAATAAGATGCAAACGCCAGAGCCCCGGTGGACTTCCCTATCACATAGTCATATAGGACTCTCCTCAGCTGTTATGAAAGTGAAAACTGAGGACACGGAAATCCAGTGTTCAGACCTGAAAACCATCCCTGCCATTGGCTGAAGAGAAAGGTGACTAGTGTGAGTAACCTTAGGTAAATGCATGCAAAGAAGCATCGCTCTGCAGGCTGGCTTCCATTCATGTTTGAGCTAATGTTTAATTAGATATTTATCAACTTTCTCAAAAACTGTGCAGTGGTATTAGTTGCAAAAATTTGCTGGACACACCAACAATCTCATGCAATAAACTTATTATTTTCTCAGTTACAGTCCGAGCATCTGTGCAGTCAGATATGTTATTCTTGGAAAAGGTCATAGGTTATATTTAGGGGCCTGTATTCAGAGCATCTCCGGCGCAAGGGAGAGTGTAAAGGAGACGGGGAGTGTGTCAGAGTGTGCGGCTCGAGTGGCACCCGAGCCCAGAGGTGTGACCCCAGCTCTTACTTGGAGTGCTGGGCTTGCGGCTGGAAGGCGGCAGGGAGGACGACCTCTGCGCACAGTTCAGCCTCCTGTGTCTCTGCTGGGCACACTTCTCTGGGGACCGACTCGCACCGACAGTCGCTTCAGTTTGCCGAGAATTTGCTAATTCTGAAACAAGCGTAAAAAAAGTCAGCAAGACACACCCAGCTTCAGTCCTCTGCCTTTATTAACAGATGTTCACCAGCAAGCAATTCTTCTCACTGTGTAGGTTACAATGATTATTTGCAAAAGCACACGTTATAGATAAAGATGCCTGATGAAAAAAAATGTGGGAGTTTATAATGCCTTCATTCCGGTTCCCTGTTTACAATTCAAGGTGATTTTTCAAGAGGTTATTTTTAGAAAGCAGGTCACTAATTTATTTACTAGGAGATACAGTTTTGGATGCTACACTGAAGATGTCAATGATGTGATTACCAGGCCTGACCAAGTGAGCAGAGAGGAAGTGTGAGAGGAGCTGCAAGTGCCTGGACCCATGAAAACCAGCATGAAGATGCTCCTGCCCCTCTGCTGGGTGCTTGGGAGCTAGAAAGGCAGAGCAGGATGCCCCGCTCACTAGGAACACCAGGCGTCTGTCACAGCTTTCTGACGTGTGCAAGTAAGACAAACTGATGCAGAAATTTTCCACATATCATTGAGAATGCCACAGAAATCTTTAATAATCAGAATTAACACGTAATCTGCTTTTATAAAAGGCACATGTTATGCCATGACTGTGATAAATTATTCACTAGGGATTTGATTATCTATGAAATGAGGCTGAAGCAGCAATAAACTAAACTAACCTTTTATTTCATCACTGGGGGAATTCCATTTTAAAGAGAAAGTAATATAGTTACAGGGAAAGAGAAAAAACCTGTATCTCTATAATCTATCTATATATATAAAAGCCAAAGCGACCATTACGACAGGTTGATGGCTCGACCCGTCACTATGACGATGCACTGACCACCAGGAGGCAGACGCTCAATGCAAGAGCTGCCCCCTGATGGTCAGTGCCCTCCCCCAGCCAACCTCCTGCAGCTGGCCAACCTCCCGTGGTCCCTCCCCTTGGCCAGCTGGCCCCGATCAGGACTGGGTGATACGGTCTCGATTGGCCCCAATCACCAGCCAGGCCAAGGGATTCTACCCATGCACAAATTTGTGCACCGGGCCTCTAGTATTAAATAAGAAATAAAATACTTACTATTTGAAGTGTCCTCTCTCTCTGTCTGTGTGCCCAAATTTTTAAATATTTTTTCTTCCTCAAGTTCTTTTAAAGCTCTCATGATTGGTGTGTCTGAAGTCTCTCTTTGTTTTTTTATCAGTAAGTTCGTTGGTGAACTTCCAGGTGAAGAATCCTTTTCCGGAGGAGAATGGTACCTTAAATAACAATTGTAAGACACACAGTGATATGGACTGAATATGGTGCCCTCCCCACCCCAAATTCATATTGAAGCCTCAGTCCTTGGCATGATGCTATTTGGAGGTGGGGCCTTTGGGAGTTGAGTGAGTTTAGATGAGACCAAGAGGGGGTTAGTGCCCAATAAAAAGAGGAAGAGACAAGATCTCTCTCTCCCAAGTGCCAGGAGCACAAGAGGGGAAGCTCTGCACAGCCTACGAAAGTGAACTGTCCAGAGAGCACTAGTCTCTCAAAGTAAAATAAAAATCAGGTGCTTAAAATTGAGACATTAAGGAGACAAGGAGATGGCTCTAGGAAAACACAGCAGTCCCTTAACACGACCTTCGACAGTCATCTCACCCAGGAACGCCTGTTTCCTCCAGCTTGCTCGCTGAGGTCCTGTCGGGCACATCCAGGGGCTGGCCGGTGAAGATCGAATACTCCGCCCCCGGGATCAGCCACTTCCGCCTGCTGACGTCAGAGGTGGCCAGTGTGCTGTGAGGGTGAGGAGTGTTGTGGGCATTACAAGGTCTGTGCTTCCATTTAAACTGAGCACAAATGAAAACACCTGGCTTCAAAAGATTCCTTCCACGGAAATTTAAAAACCACATGCAGCGTCTCTCGATGTGTGAATTCTACATCTCGGTTCTAAGATTGAGCTGCATTATTTCACGTTTCTGTTCCTGCTGATCATAACTGAGCCTCAACTGAGCCTCAGGGGCTCGTACGCCCACACAGCTCCGCACACCCCCGTGGAGAGTGCCCTCGCCTCCCACGCCAGCCCCGGGATGGAACTTTCTGCCAGTCACACTCTGCTACTGAACACTCGACACGGAACTACGACGACGGAAGAACCAACTTTTAAATGTGTTTTCATTTTAATGAGTTAACTGGTCTCCTTTTCTCCACACTCTCTGCTCTCGTACTGGGAAGGCCACACGCACAGGCCGTCCTGGCCTCTCCGCGGACCGGGCTCTGCTCCTCCAGCGCCAGCAGCCTGGTCCCAGCAGGAACCGATCCTCAAAGACTCCTCTCGCGCCCTGCGCAAGCTCAGCCTCCTCTCTCCTGCATCTCAACCCCTCCCAGATTCTCTAGTCCCTCTCTACCTACCCTGGGGTGCACCCCGACTCCCTTCCCAGCTCGCCTTCAGTCACAGCTGACGGGCAGCCAGCACCTCGGCCTGGGCGACGATACTGACCTCGCTTCTCAGTGTCTTCACTCCGACAGCTGAGCTTTGCAGATGGGGTGTCGTTACAAAATCACTCTCACCATCTCAGCTGGACACCCAACACGGCTGGCAACAGAGCTCTCTGTAATGGGCGACTGTCTCCTGCCTTCTCCTCTCTCCTCTAACTGCTCAGCCCAGCCTAGACTGCCAAAGATAACCTCGCATGACACTCCAGAGAGAACCCAGAGACCAGGAGACCGCGCCTGCCTTCCTCTCTCTGCTCCCTTCCCTGTCACACTTCTTAGGAGTTGCCTCTTTTACCTATTTTCATTTTAACCCCAGTCATTCCTTTTTCTCAACTTTTTAATATATATGGGGTTTTTTTATTGATTTCAGAAAGAAAGAGAGAGACAGGAACATCAATGATGAAAGAGAATCATTGATCAGCTGCCTCCTGCACGCCCCACACTGGGGATTGAGCCCACAACCCAGGCATTTGTCCTGACCGGGAATCAAACCGTGACCTCTTGGTTCATAGGTCCATGCTCAACCACTGAGCCATGCCAGCTGGGCATCAACTTTTAAATTAAAAAACCTGTCAAACAATCTTAGAAGATTACAAAGAATACCATTAACAAGCACCCGCCCACATCAGTTTTAACAAATGCTAGCATCTTACCCTACTTGTTTGTAGTTGTAAAACATAGACACATGGTATGCTTGTATTTTTTAGGTTACATCCAAGTTACAATGCACACATCCCTGCAGTGCTGCTGTTTCTACTCAGCATCACCTTGGAGGTTTATCCATGTGATACAGAAGGCACTACCGTCTTACTTAACCACAGTGCGAATATACCACAAGCCACGCACCCTCCCTCCTGGTGGTGGGTGTGCTTCCCTCCTAATGGATTGCCCTTCAACAATGCTACAGTGAACAGGTGTAAGAATTCCTCTCGGGTAAACCTATAAGAGTGGAACGTGGAGTTCGGGGTGTGCAGTCTCACTGGATGCTGACGAATCACCCCCTTCTGGCTGTACCAATGGTCAGCCCTGCCAGCAGTGTGGTTCCTGTTTCTTCACACCTTGGCCCAACTTCACCATGATTAGATCTGAAGGCTGGCTCATCTGAGGGTGTGAGTGGCCTCCCACTGTTGTTCTCATTGTCATTTTTCGGATTACCAGTGAAATGAGCACCTTTTCATTTTTATGAGCACCTTTTCATTTTTATTAGCCATTTAGGTTTCTTTTCTGTGAGCTGCTTGCTCATATCCTGTGATTGCTTTTCTACTGAGGAAGTTGTCTTTTTCTCATTGATTTGTAGGAGTTCTTTATATTCCGGATGCTAATTCTTTATTGGTTCCTATTCTCTTTAAAAATATAAACAATTTCCAGCCTGCAGAAAGCACTCAGGCACCAACCATCCGCATTAGAAAACCTTGCTTCTTCACTTCATCTCGCTCAGATTTTCAGAGTGGACACTCCAGGTACAAGTGGGGTCCCCTGGTGCCTCTCCTGTCTCACTCTCCCCAAAGCTACTGTTTGTTCTCTCTCAATGTTCAATTTCAGTTATTTACATACTTTTTCTTTAATAATTCACTATGTTCTACCAGCAAAGACCTAGGAAAAGTTTCTCATTTGACAGTTATGACTTAGGTTAAAATTCACAATTTAACAATCTTTTTCAAGTAACCAAAGTTACAAAGTTATGATCTACTCATTAATACTATTTACCCCAAAATCATAAAAACCAATTCTAACATGGGAAACGTATTCTGTAAATGTATCAGCAAGACAATGCTGCCCTATCCGCTTTGGCTCAGTGGAAAGAGCGTCAGCCTGCAGACTGAAGGGTCCCAGGTTCGATTCCGGGCAAGGGCACATGCCCAGGTTGCAGGCTCAATCCCCAGTGTGGGGCATGCACGAGGCAGCCAATCAATGATTCTCTCTCATCATTGATGTTTCTATCTCCCTCTTCCTTCCTCTCTGAAATCAATAAAATATATTTTTTAAAAAGACGTGTGGGGCACACGAGGCAGCCAATCAATGATTCTCTCTCATCATTGATGTTTCTATCTCCCTCTTCCTTCCTCTCTGAAATCAATAAAATATATTTTTTAAAAAGACAATGCTGAGATGACAACAAAGCTAATTTTGAAAAACTAAGAAGAAAAATGCACACAAGCTAATGAAAATCTACAGTCACAGGTCTCTCCACTAACGTGGGGAGAAAATACCTCGTCTTTTGGGGCTAAAAGACCGTTTGAGAGACTTAAGCCCAATGCCCTTGTTTCTACAGATGATAAAACTGGGCTCCAAAAAAATTCAGAGATTTGCCTAAGGTTACCCAGCTGGGCAGAGTGAAAAACAAGAACACCCTCCCCTCCTCGCTCCCAGCCGGACTCTCCTCCTTCCTCCTTCCGGGAAATGCCTCTGCAGGAGCTTGTGTGCTGGCTGATAACGAGATGTTCTTACACATCTAGATTCTCCGTGACATCAGCCCCGACATTCTCATGGTTCAGACAGAGGAGCTTCTGAGCTAGATGGAAGGGCGCACCTATTTCTAGCTTTGCAGAGATTAAACAAAGTAACTTACTTGGCACGGGAGGGTCCCGTGGGAGCTCTAGAATTATGACGAAGACTTAACATATTTTCATGCTCCACTTGCTTGACCTGAGCTTCAAGTTTTGAGATCGTTCTGATTCAAAGCAATAAAATAAATGTAAGTACATTTCAACAAATTTAAACAGCTCAACTACAAATTAGAGATTTAACAGATCCTTCTAGAAAAGGGGAGACAAAGGAGCTGCAAGTCCATAAACCTTTTCCCAGTAAAATTCTACCGTTTAACTTTACAAAGCTGACAAAGTAAGGGAGAGTAAGTAGAAAGGAAAGTGCATTCAACTCTACAGAGGAGCACTCATCCTACAACTGAAGGAAAAGGAACAAAATAGATGCACTTAATCTAGCAAGTAAAAAAAAATTATAAACTTGACTATAGATCAAAACATACAACATATAAATTAAATATAAAATAAATTCAAATATACAAATAAACTGCAACTCTAACATGTTTAATATGTATTCATCCAAGCACATGAAATATATATAGGTAACACTTCTACACAAGAGGAAGCAGGCTTAATTCCCAATAACAGAGCCATTAAAAAGAACTCCTAATTTTAAACTATGCACCTCATTGAATTTGTGCCATGTTCAGAATAAAAGCCTAATTTTCAAGTTACCAGCAGAAAATGAGTACTGTGGCCAATTAATTGTTTTGAACATGTCTTGCAGTCTTTGTTCTTTTAAACTTTGCACATGTCCTCATCTGATCTTTTTTTCTTTTTTTAATCCTCACCCAAGGATATTTTTCCATTGATTTTTAGAGAGAGTGGAAGAGAGGGAAAGACAGAGGGAAATATGTTTCTCTCACATCGATTGGTTGCCCTGCACATGCCCTGACCAGGGCCTGGGCCAGGGAGGAGCCTGCAACGGAGGTACGTGCCCTTGACCAGAATTGAACACGGGATCCTTCAGTCCACAGGCCAACGCTCTTTTTTTTTTTCTTTTTTCTTAAATAACATATTTTGCTCAAGAGCTTTTTTTTTATTTATTTATTTTTATATATTTTTATTGATTTCAGAGCGGAAGGGAGACAGAGAGATAGAAACATCAATGATGAGAGAGAATCATTGATCAGCTGCCTTCTGCACACCCCCTATTGGAGATCAAGCCCGCAACCCAGGCATGTGTCCTTGACTGGAATCGAACCTCAGACCCTTCAGTCCGCAGGCCGACACTCTATCCACTGAGCCAAACCAGCTAGGGCTGATCTTCTTTTTTAAGGTGAGAGTTCCTTACTTCTTTAAAAATTTTTTTATTGATTTTTAGAGATAGAGGAACGAGAGGAAGAGAGATAGAAACATCAATTATGAGAGAAACATCAATCACCTGCCTCCTGCGCACCTCCTACTGGAGATTGAGCCCCAAACCCAGGCATGTGCCCTGACTGGGAATCGAACCAGCGACCTCTTGGTGCATGGGTCAAAGCTCAACCACTGAGCCACACCGGCCAGGCCTCATCTCATCTTTTAAACTCACATTCTTACCTTTCCCATTGCAAGGAAGGTTTGAAAGAACTTTGGATAAGGCCGCTAACACTGGAACTCAATGAGCAGAGAAAGCCAGACAGCGTTCCTGTCCTCCCTGCGGGAAGTCCTAAAGAGTGCGGTAAAAATCTCCAAATAAGGGACATTACTATCCCCAAATATAGAAACATGCTTAAAAGCCAATTAGAAATATGGAATCATTTGCCACTGGGACAATTTGACTCTATTCTTACCTAATTAAGCAAATCAGATCATGAATATAGTCCCCAAGACAGGTCTTTAAGAAAGTAGATGACCACAAATAGGTGGGAATGCTGTTTTAGGGGGGAGCATAAAAATATTCAGAGAACTAGACTGCTTCTTAAAATTCTTTTCAATGTTTTAATATCATTTGGATGTTATCTATCCTGTGAAAATACGTAATGTTTGGGGAAATGCGCACCTCTTAGGACCAACCACCGATATTTTCTAATCGTTTAAATATCTTCAGCTACCTCGGCCAGTGTGGCTTAGTGGTTGAGTGTCAACCTATGAATCAGGAGGTCACGGTTCGATTCCCAGTCAGGGCACATGCCCAGGATGTGGGCTCGATCCCCGGTAGGGGGCGTGTAGGAGGCAGCCAATCCATGATTTTCTCTCCTATTGATGTTTCTCTCTCTCTCTCTCCATCTTTCTTCCTCTCTGAAATCAATTTTTTAAAAAAGTTTAAAAATCTTTGGCTAATATCAAATGTATTTCTATGTCAGAAAGATTAGGATAAGATCTAATCTCAAAATGCTTTCAAATCCTCAAGAAAAACTCTCTTTTCATCACTTTCAAATAGACACTTATTTAAGTGCTAAGAAAACAATTAGAAGTGTTTGATTAGTAAGACAAGGCATTTACCTTTTCAAATCAGAAATCTGAGTCTGTGCATCAAGCAATTTGTTCTCGGTTGTATTTAATGTATCCTATGAAAATAAAGGAAAAGTTCAGAAAACTGAAGTTAAGTATTCAAATGTAGTCCTTTTATTTAAAAATGCAAAAATACAAAACTAACCTAAGGCTACACCAGAGAGCTACAAAGAAAATCAAGCAGATACTCAGCACATATGGCCTCCACCAAGCCACAGACACAACTCCCGGAAGAGGATGGGTGAGTGGACGCTGGTTCACAGACAGCTGTGGGGCCGGGAGGGCCGTGTGCCCTGCTTGACTGGAAACGGTCCAGTGTTAAATGGACACATTTTAACCACAAACCTGACTGAAGTCTCAGTAAATGGCAAAAAAATCCCTGTGGTGATGATGTTTTCAAAGTACGGCCTGGCCCCTGACCCCCGGAATTCCTGGTGGCCGGGCTGGGCAGGCCTTTTCACTAACCTTGAATAATCTCAAGCTGCATTTTACGCAGCAGAAATACTGGGGTCCCCGTACAGCATCATTGTGGGTTTCACTGCATGCAAATGGTAGTTTCCCAACAGAGCTTTAATCAAGAGTTCAAACATAGTAAGTTCAACCCCACAAAAAGCCAATGCTTTGAGAAACAAAACTTTATATTTAAATAGTATTAATTATTTGCATCTGCATGGTATCTTACACTTCTAAAAATTTCATCTCACCTCAAATGCAACAGCCATTCAATAAATATTTGCTAAATTAACAAATCCACCAGACTGTGAGTTACAGGGTAGATATCTAAAAGCAAGCCTACTGACCCAGAGAGGGCAAGTCAGTGCCAACAGCGACGGGGGACAGGGCAGGGGAGCAGGGGGGAGGCCAGGGCCCTTGGCTTCCAGTCCAGTGCTCTGCCTCCACCGCAGCCCAGAACATGAGCAATGAACCGCTATTACCTTCACTCTTTCGTGTTCTTTTCCCAGGGACTCATACTCTCCTAAAAGCTGCAGGAAAAACAAAGAATTGCACCAGAAAATTAAACATAATATCCACCAAAGGATATGCTGTAACAGTGGCTCCCAATGTGGGACACACGCCCCATAGGGGGGCAATTTAATTTTTAAGGGGGACAATTCGAGAATGAGTTATTAACAGTGATTTTTTTTTGCATTTCTTATGATTCCAGGGGCCTCATATAGTGTGTGTGTGTGTGTGTGTGTGTATGTATATATATATACATACACACACACACACACACACACACACACACACACACTCACACACTAGTAAAAGGCTAAGCAACCATCCGACCGGTAGCTTTGACGTGCAATGACCACCAGGGGGCAGACGCTCAACACAGGAGCTGCTGAGCTGCGGTGCCTTGGCAGTGGTGGTTCTCAGGTGACGCACCCCGGGACTAGAGAGGAGGGAGCCTGATTCCAGGGAGCAACACCCGAGTACCGCCCTCTTGCAATCTGGGACCCCTGGGAGGATGTCAGAGAGCTGGTTTTGGCCCAATCTCCGCAGGCCAGGCCAAGGGACCCCATCTGCCGGAGGGAACCCCACTCACTATGCAAACCACCCTTCGAGCTGCAGCACTGCCCAGGGAGGGACTGTGGGAGGTTGGCTCTAGGGCCCATCTCTCCCAGTCCCACCCCGCCAGCCACCTTCTAATTAATTTCCTTTCAATGTGCACAAATCCGTGCACTGGGGCACTAGTAAATATATATGGTGACATATTTATGCATTTCAGTTCTTTATTATGTCTTGAAACTTTATTTGCTATTTTTTCATAGCACTTCATATTATTGTTGAAACAAAACTGTTTTTATCAATTTCAGAGAGAGGAAGGGAGAGGGAGAGAGACAGAAACTTCAATGATGAGAGAGAATCATTGATCAGCTGCCTCCTACACGCCCCATCCTGGGGATCGAGCCCACAACCCAGCCATGTGACCAGAATGAAACCCGGGACCCTTTAGTCTGCAGGCCGACACTCTATCCACTGAGCCAAACCAGCCAGGGCCATATTATTATTGTCTTAACAATTTCTTAGTGGTTTTTTCCTCAATACTTCAACTGTCCTTTCGTTCTTTTATTTCTCTCTTTCATGGATGCTTGTTTAGACCGAGTTAATGGCCTTTTAGGCTTCCTCCACGTGACTGGGAGTTCACTTTTTGAATAATAAGAATTATATGTCACAAGGGGGCACCAGGATTTTAGAGATGCTTAGGTGGGGCACAGCCAAAAAAAGGTTGGGAACCACTGCTCTATAAAGTAACTGCCCATACTCTTCAAAAATGCCAAGTCACACCCTTGCCAGTTTGGCTCAGTAGATAGAGGGTGGGCCTGCAGACTGAAGGGTCCCAGGTTCGATTCTGGTCAAGGGCTGGTACCTTGATTGCAGGCTCCTCCCCGGCCTGGGCCCTGGTCGGGGATTATGCAGGAGGCAACCAATAGATGTATTTCCCTCACATTGATATTTCTCTCTGTCTTTCCCTCTCTCTTCCACTCTCCCTAGAAATCAATGGGAAAATATCCTTGAATGAGGGTTAAAAAATGCCAAGTCACAACAGGGGAATGCTGACACACAGTTTCAGATCAAAGGAATTGAAAATCCAGGAGAAGTGAAGACAAGGCGTGGCCTGGGCTGGGAACAAGGCCATGAAGGAACAGTCGGACGCGACTGCACCATCTGGATTTCTGCGTTGTGATGACTGCTCTGTGGCTATGAATGAGAAGCCCTTGTTTTCAGGAAATACACTCCGAAAGCTAGAGGTAAAAGGCACGATGTCTATGACCTACTCTCCAATGCCCTGTGTGCATGGCAAGTAGATATGTGTGCATGGCAAGTAGATATGGTAACATGTTAACATCAGATCCTAGGTGAAAGGAATGACAGTTCTTTCAAGTTTTCTGTAAGCTTAAATTTATATTAAAATAAAAAGTAAAAAAAAAGTAGTATCAGTCAATACCCATTGATCAAAAGATTAAAGTGTATTTGCCTTGTTCTGTCTCGAATTGCTGCATACGATTCCTAGCTAAATTAGTTCCACAGAGTAAGATACCATCCTGAAAGTATATTATAATTAGGTAACTTATTTAAAAATAGCTATGTGAGCCTCCTGGTTAAAGAAGACAGATTTGTCACAGTTTCCTTTTTATCCTGGTCCCACCATTAACCATGGAGCCAGTAAAGAGAACCAGAGGTAACAGCGCAGGCAGAAGGTTCAAACGAAGCCGCAGCAGGGCCTGAGCAAGGGGAGCACATGGCAAGTAGGTGACCCATTCCCAACCCGGGGGGGGGGGGGGGGGGGCACAGACTGAATCCGAGGTCAGTGGTGGACAGGGTGGAAGCACAGGGCACACACACGGACCCGGCCACAGTCCTCAGGCAGAGTGGTCAGAGTCCAGGACCCTCCACGTCCCATATACAGCAGCGGACCTCCAGCCCAGCCACTGGACACAGGTGACAAGAACAGGAGAAAATGCAACACTGGAGCCCACGTCTGACAGGGAAGGAGAGGCGATGGACAGGGTGAAGAGAAAATGACTGAAGGGAGGGGAAGGAAGGCCTATTGCGCAAATCTTCGTGCAACGGGCCTCTAGTCTAACTATAAACAACAACACACATATTTCCAATTGAAGACACCGCTGACTAGAGGCCATACCATTACTTTACTTACTACCAGAGGAAAAACGCTGCTGCCGATGAAAATGGACACTGGTGTAAAGCTGCCCCAATTCCAGAGCTGTCACAACGGGAAAGAGAAGGCGCCTGAGCACCAGTTCAACATGTGAACCACATTGGGAGAGGGGTTTGCATTGGGAGCAAATGGTGTAAGAAAGCTAAACTGTAACGGTGCACAGAAGGAAGTTATACACCATCTGATTTGACGGGAACAAGAAAGAATAATGTAAGTTTCCTATTTAGGAACATGGAGGAAAATACGGGAAGAAACAGCTAGAAGAGCTGATGGTAATGGCCTCCAGGGTAGGGAACTCCAAGGTACAGAGAGGGGGAAGGACTTGTTTTTCATTTCCAATTTCGCTACTTAAACCATTTATGTGTGTTTTGTGAAAATAAAATTTAAAACCAATTTGCAACAGCATGGATGGACCAGGAGAGCATTATGCTAAGCGAAATAAGTCAGTTGGAGAAAGATAAATATCACATGATCTCACTCATTTGTGGAATATAATGAACAACATAAACTGATGAACAAAAACAGATCCAAAGACAGAGAAGCATTGATCAGACTGTCAAACCTCAGAGGGAAGGCAGGGGAGGGTGGGGGTAAGGGGGACTTGTATGCATGCATATAAGCATTACCAATGGACAGACACCAGGGGTGGGTGAGGGCATGAGCTTGGGGGGGGCGTGGAGGGCGGGGATAAGGACACATATGTAATACCTTAATCAATAAAGAAAATAAAAAATAAATAAAAAAAGTAACAAGCATCAAACCTAAAGCTATCAGGATGAAGCTTTCAACAGTCAAAATACTTTTAGATTTTTTAGGTACCATGACAAGGAATATTAAGAAAAACTTAAGAGGGAAAAAACACACAACCTGAAACCACTCCCACATCAGTGCCACACAAATCCAATTTTAAGCGAAATTAAATCAGAGTGAAGAAATTTAAGCAAACCCGTTCTCAATCTTTGCCCTGCCAGACACACGGATGCTGGTTTCAGACCGCTCCCAAGTGGGCCTGCCAGAGACAAAGGCATGCGTGGGAGGGAGCGACAGCCTGGTCTCAGAGCTCACTTCCTGCTTCGAGAAAGACCCGCCCTACACCGTGGGAAGGTATATATTTGCAGCTACAGCAAAGTTATGTAAAATAAACTAAACGTGGAAAAACTCTTAAGAGCTTGTAAAAAGACAGAATCTAAAGTTACTTTAGCTGAGCACATCACCAAGTCACTTACATCTTGAAACATTTTGTTTTCCTGTTTCAGCCTGGCGTCTTTGTCATCTGAGAGTTTGTAGGCATTCTCAAACGCTTCCTCCAGATCCTGCAGCCTACACTTCAGTCGAATGATGGTGTTGTCTTTTTCTCTGTTACTTGTTCTCATTTCCTCGATGCGTTCCTGAAGAATTTTGGAGGCACTGCTGGCTGCACTGAGGCGTTCTCTGAAATCACTCTACAAAACAGACAGGATAATCAATTGTCTTTAATAAGAAATAGATGTCTCACCCGCCAGCGTAGCTCAGTGACTGAACGTCGACCTATGAACCAGGAGGTCACGGTTTGATTCCTGGTCAGGGCACATATGCCCAGGTTGTGGGCTCAATCCCCAGTGTGAGGTATACGGGAGGCAGCCAAACAATGATTCTCTTTCATCATTAATGTTTCTATCTCTCTCTCCCTCTTCCTTTCTCTCTGAAATCTATAAATATATTATATATATATATATATCACTAAAAAAATGGATGTTTCAATAGCAGCTAATAAACTGTGAGCATTAAAATATAAAATAATAAAGCAAAACATAAAATGGAAATCAGCAAATTTAATTTTTTATATATTTTTATTAATTTCAGAGAGAAAGGGAGAGGGGAAGAGATATAAACATCAATGAGACAGAACCATTGATCGGCTGCCTCCTGCATGCCCACCACTGGGATCAAGCCAGCAACCTGGGCATGTGCCCCGACCAGGAATGGAATCTGACCTCCTGGTACACAGGTCGATGCTCAACCACTGAGCCATGTTGGCTGGGCAGCAAATGTCCTATTTTGCTATAGCCTGGGGTGGAGACCAGAATTACGCTACCATGAGTTGATCATAAAATGTGAACTGAAAACCACTGTTCAAGGCATTCGGATTTTAGGACTAACCTGTGGATCGCTTTAGTGAGGAAAATAACCACGGCTATTAGAGAAATGACTCTGAAAGTACAGCTGGAATTTGTTGTCCTACATTCACATTTAAAGCTTAAAAAAAATGCATTCCTTACCCTATTCTCTCACTTACTAGGAAAATAAAATTCAATATGCATGTTAATATTCACTCAATCATTTCTTGAATATCCAGTAGGTGCTGCGCACTAGGGTGGCTAGAAATGAAGATTAACATGAAAGACAAGTTTTGACTTCATGAAGTTTAGAGTGTAGGAGGAGACAAAGATAACTAAAAAACATCAAAAACAAAGAAACAGTGTATAAAACATAACTGACACTTTCCACCAAAACATTGTTTATAAGGCTATATGTAGAAGAACAGAACTTACTACTATATGAAAAAAAAATTTATACAGTTAAAAGCAAAAGTTTACGCACTTCTTGTTATTTATATGAGAAAATGGAACCCTTGCCCTAACTGGTTTGGCTCAGTGGATAGAGCGTCAGCCTGCAGACTCAAGGGTCCCAGGTTTGATTCTGGTCAAAGGCATGTACCTTGATTGTGGGCACATCCCAGTAGGGGGTGTGCAGGAGGCAGCTGATCGATGTTTCTCTCTCATCGATGTTTCTAACTCTCTATCCCTCTCCCTTCCTCTCTGTAAAAAAAATCAATAAAATATATTTTTTTTAAAGAAAAAGAAAAGAAAAGAAAATGGAACCCTGGACGGGTGGCTCAGTTGGCTGGAACGGGTCAGGGCACATACCCAGGTTGCGGGTTCGATCCCTGGTTGGGAGAGTACGGAAGACAACCAGTCGATGCTTCTCACATTGATATCTGTCTGTCTGTCTGTCTGTCTCTCTCTCTCTCTCTCTTTCTCTCTCCCACCCCTCCACTCTCTAAGCATGTCCTTAGATGAGGATTTTTTAAAAAATAAGGCAGACCTAGCCGATTTGGCTCTGTGGATAAAGCATCGGCCTGCGGATGCCCTGGTTTTGGGACTTGATCCCCAGTAGGGGGCGTGCAGGAGGCAGCCAATCAATGATTCTCTTTCATCATTGATATTTCTATCTCTCTCTCCCTCTCCCTCCCTCTCTGAAAGCAATAAAAATATTTTTTTTAAAAGACGCTAGAACAACAAAAAATAGAATACTTACTTACCACTTCTCTTTCTAGTAGGTTATTCTTATTTTCAAGTGTCCTCACACGGCTAGTGGCTTCATTCAGAGCACCATCTAATTGACCGCATCTAAGACCATAAATTGAAATGAAACAATTGGAAGGTCAAGCCCTCTCCCTGACAAGTGTTCTATAAACCTAACCGACTCCCCAGTACAGCGCGTAACAAACACCAGCTCTCCACGTCAGCCAAGACTCAGGATGCCGCGTTAGTAAAATGCCCCTCAGTGACCTGATGGCAGCACAGTGGCAGAGAAAATCAGGATGAAAAAGACCCCTAAGAAAGATTAAGTCAACAACGCAAGACGTGAACAGATACCTCCTTGCACACCCATGTTCACAGCAGCAGCATTCACAGTACCAACAGGTGGAAGCAGCCCAAGTGCCCATCAGGGGATGGATGCAAAGCTATCCCTAGTACAGGGCCATTCTCCCCTGTGTTCCTACAGCTGTTTTAACAGGATAACTGTCTGGGTACAAAAAAAGGTGGCGCACTGCCCAAGGGCACAAGTCATCACTTTCTCATCAGGGATCCATGTGTAGCACTCATCTCCCATAAATGACATTCCTTGACACACACAAGGTCTGCTCAACTGTTTCAGCATTCAGCTCACAGGAAGTACCTACGTGCATGTCAGTTATTAGTGTGTTCTAAGAGGCTGGTTCAAATCTGTAAAAATAATTACTTAGGAAAACGTGTTTTTGGTATTAAAATTTTCAAATCTGCCCGGCCAGTGTGGTTCAGTGGTTGAACATTGACCCATGAGCCAAGAGGTCACTGGTTTGATTCCAGGTCAGGGCACATGCCCGGTTGCGGGCTCAATCCCCAGTAGGGGGTGTGCAAGAGGCAGCCAATCGATGATTCTCTCTCATCAGTGAAGTTTCGATTTCTCTCTCCCTCTCCCTTTCTCTCTGAAATCAATAAAAATTTAAAAAAAAAAATTCAAATCTGAGGCACATGATTTAGAAGTGATTTATCATCACAATATATTATACTTTGAGGAAAATAATATATCCAAGTTGGAGAAGCACTAACAGTTAAATTATATTTTTAAAACTATAGTTAAGCTTTAAGTTTTACCTGTCTACAAGAATTTGATTGGTTTTCTTCCAATCTTCAACTGCAGAAATTTCTTTTGCCTCCAGCTTCTGTTTCAAGCTACTTATTTCTGACTCATAATAAGCTCGAAGATCTGCTATGTGCCGGGCCTGCTTTTCCTTCAGGTTCTGCCTGACGCTGTCGGCAGGAGGGAAAGGCTTGTTAGGACAGTGTCTCCTCACTCTCTGTCCCAAAAGAACAGTCATTCTCATGAGCAAAAACACAGCCTTTTCCCTTTGCACTCAGAAAATATAAATAGACAATACACAAGTTAACCACCAACAAAGTAAAGAAGAAAACAGACATGGATTATTTAATTCTTAGATGGTCTATCTTAAAAATGCTATCTCTGTTTTTAACTTAAGGTTTTATACATTACTGAAATTCAATAAAAACCACTTTCATCATTTAAGCAGACACCACAGAAAATCGATTAGTATTACAGGCCATCCACTGAAATACATACTTAGACAATAGCACAGGATCTTCCAGGGAAGTCAATGAAATGCATTCTGGGACACTGTTGGCTGTACCTGGAAGCTGGGACTGACTGACTGAGGCTGCAGTTACCATGACAGTGTTTTCTTCTTCCACGGTGTTGACCGAGAGGTCGTTACTAGTGACAGTATAGACTGAGGGGAACGTGGAGCTGGTCCTGCTTTCGTTTGGGAATGCGTGATTTTTCCAAGAGGCCGCTGTTGAGGCTTTTGCACGTGAAGGGCACTTGGGGAACCCAGACAACTGAGAGGTGGCATTGCTTGCTTGCGAGAAGGAGTCCACGTCAGAGCGACTGGACACACTGGGCTCCAGAACAGAGTCTGGCGAGAAGGAGATCCTGTCCTGGAGGGCATTCAGAAAGCCCGGCGGCTGAGTCCCCGCCATCTGCTCACTTGGCTTCATGTGTAACGTTGGGTCCAGAGTCAGCACCTGGAAATAGGCAGACAGCGTGGTTCGCCCTCCGCACGGGCTGCTGTGGAGGTGAGCAGCCAGGCCTCCCGGGGAAACGCGCTAAAGCCCAGGGAGGGTCGGAAGCAGCTTCGCACCCCGCCGAGTGCGGACCACGTTACCTCGGGCGGATGGTTTGGGCTGGAAGAAGTGAGATTCCTCTCGGTTAACTGCTTGTTTTCCCTTTGCTTTTTATGGTAAATATCCTTCAGTGACGGAAGCTTCATCTCATTACTAGTGTTAGCCTTAAAGACACAAAACAAAATTATTTCAATGCTATTAGCAAGGAAGAAAAAGCTTTCTGAAATCAAGATCAGCACCATAAGAGATTTTTTAAAGATTGTCAATAAATTGAGCTTTGTGCTGTCAGATTTATAATGAAGGTTTGGAAGTCAAAACCGATTACAATGAGTCTCCCTTACAATGAAAAAGTTTTCCTATCTCCCCAACAATAAATATAAAGGGAATCATCTCAACCTAATACTTTCAAAGAATAAAATCGTTGGACGTCCCCTACTCAAAATGAGAAGGAGGTTCTGAGATAAGACAAGACTTGAGAAAGAAGGAATGAAGCAGGACAAGGACACTTCTCGCCAGATTGATTTCCTGAGACTCACGGGGACAGCTGTCAAGAGGTGCAGCTCCTCATCTATGTGGTTATGTCACGTTAGGAGCTGGCAGACAAGAAAAGGGTGTTTCTCCAGCTTGACATCGGGGCTACGCTGCGCTGGAAATACTGCACCGCCGTCTAAGCTCCAAGTGGAAAAACCCGGGGCTCAAATTATTTCGAGGTGGGAGCTAGTGTGGGGTGTGCCGGGTACCATTTAACCTTGTCAAGTGTGACCTTGGCCATTCTGTCAAATGAGACTGAATTCCAGGAGGGACACACTGCCAGGCAGTTCATCCTACAGCCTTACCTCACGTCCCATTTCCAGGCCCAAAGTGGCTGCACGGCACCAGGAACTATATTTTTAAATCAACCCTGTTACTAGCTTGTGAAAAAGAATTCATTATATTGTTGTGTGTGTGTTGAAGGTATTAATTTGATAAACGTAAACCCTAAAAATTCTCCCTAATCCCGTTTTAAAACTTGACGGTTTATATACCAACGACCCAGAGGCCCTCAAGACTTACGGACCATGACAAGCAGCAGCTCTCTGGCTCCAGCCTCAGCCCTGCCCGCGGGCTGCAGCTATTCTACTCAGAGCTCACGGTGGTACAGGCTCCCATGTGCCACCCCTTTGATGACTTCTCTTCTCTTCATATTGTAACATCTCTGAAATGAGGTCTTGTAAATGGCATCTTGTAACTACTGCCAGTCAAAGAGCAGCTGTGATATGTCATTGCCTGCTCATAAGCAAATACCAAAGCCATCAACATGGCCACAAAGGTGTGCCGAGACGACAAGGGAGCCCGGGAGCCGCTATGAAGGGACAGGAGCAGGCGTGCGCAGCAGCTGTGCCTTCTGGGAGTCAGGTCCCCGCAGCATCACGGAAGGAATGCCATGTCACGAAGGAAACAGTAGGTGGGAAAACAGATACCCGCGCTGGGATGGAAAAGGAGGGTGAGCCTCTGCAGGTGAGGAAGTTTGAACCAATGTATTTCCCTTACATTTTCCTTTCTAAGTATATATAAGGCTTACATGATACAAATCTATGTTTAATCACAAGCTCTTTCTGTAAGAAAACAATAGAAATTCTAAGTGATAAGAAAGCACTGCAGTCTTGGCTGGTTTGGCTCAGTGGATAGAGCGCTGGCCTGCAGACTAAAGGTTCCCGGGTTTGATTCTGGTCAAGGGCACATGCCCGGGTTGCGGGCTCCATCCCCAGTAGGGGGCATGCAGGAGGCAGCCAGTCAATGATCCTTTCTCATCTTTGATGTTTCTCTCTCTCTCTCCCCTCTCCCTTCCTCTCTGAAATTCAATAAAAATATATTTTTAAAAAAGAGTTTATTTAAAAAAAGAAAAAGAAAGCATTGCATCAGTCTCATTGGTAAATTCTTTTCTTGGTAGCCTATCACACAGAAAATCTTCAAATGGATGGCATCTTAGAGTCAACAAATACAGCGTTAATTACTGAGGCTGCAGATCAAGGAACACACAGGCAGCCCTGTGAGCAGAGCCCACTCGGCCTCCCAGCCCCTCAGTCACACGTCCCACCCTTCCTTCCTCCCTGGGGTTATCTGGCTTTTTTGCTCCTTCCTCTGAAGACCCCGTCTGCCACAACTGTCTATGGCTGTCACTCAGGCTCACAGCTCTCCTGGTTACTTTAATGGTATCTCTCCTTTTCCCAACCTACTCTTCTCTCATCACCTAATCAAGACAAGAAGTGAAGTATGTACCTCGATGTGCACATATTGGAGAGTTGTATTTCTTTATTCTGAAATAAACAAAGTATTTACATTTCTTGCTCAAAGAAAATTAATACCAATTAAATTGTTCAGCATAAGAACACAAATGGATTAGTGGGAGGGTGTAATAGGGTACAAAGTCAAACCAGGCCTGAGAGCAGGAGAAGTTTATCTATGGGCCTACTGTATTTATTTTTTTAAAAAATATATTTTATTGATTTTTTACAGAGAGGAAGGGAGAGGGATAGAGAGTTAGAAACATTGATGAGAGAGAAACATCAATCAGCTGCCTCGTGCACACCCCCTACTGGGGATGTGCCCGCAACCAAGGTACATGCCCTTGACCGGAATCGAACCTGGGACCCTTCAGTCCACAGGCCAACGCTCTATCCCCTGAGCCAAACCAGTTAGGGCGGGCCTACTGTATTTAAATAGTTGGCACAAAACCACCTCATTTACTTACACAAAGCACTCATGGGCTTTTTTTTTTTTTTAAATCCTCACCTGAGGACATGTTTTATTGATTTTCAGAGAGAGAGGAAGAGAAAGAGAGAGAAACATCAATTGGTTGCCTCTCACATGTGCCCCTACTAGGAGGGATCAAACCCAAAACCCAGGTATATGCCCTGATCGGGAATTGAACCCGGGACCCTTTGGTGTACCTGATGATGCCCAACCAACTGAGCCACACCAGCCAGGGTCACTGGGCATTTTAAATCCCACTCTTAAGTAACTTTCCTAAGATCACACAGGCAATGACAGACAGAATCTGAGAGCAGATGACTATGATTTAATGCCCATGCTTTCTTCTCTGCATCGGAAAGTGAAAAACACAAAGTGTATAATGAAGTCAAGTACTTATCTACCATGTGACAATGCAAACACACACACGTTTTGACTTACCGGGCTGGCTGACACTTGGGGGGAGGAGGACGAGGCAAAGGGCTTGTCTGTGACCTCGGGCAGAGAGTGGTACGTGTCCTTCTCCTCCGGTCTCCAGTGTGTCAGGCCTGCGCAGGCACACAGAAGAGAAGTGAGTAGAGACAGAACAATAGTGATTCTAGGGTAACGTTTCTACCTAAAGAAAACGAAATGCGGGAAGTAACTAGCCTTTGTCTATCTAAATTCGAAAAGTTTCATTGGACGGAAAACAGTTCACATGAATGCCTTACCATGGAAGAGTCCTGCCTTCATGATCCAAGTATTTAAAGTTGAAATATGTTACAAGTCAAAATTAACTAACATAATTCAAAAAATTTAAAGACAACAATTTCTTTGTGAATAGTACAGACTTATATGGAAGCAATGTAAAGAATTCAATAATTTAAATATTTATTGAGCATCTACTGTGCCAGGTGGGCGCAGGGAGACTGAGACCCAAACAACAGTAAAATCACAGGAAGTTAGAGGGTGGTGAGCACTCGGTTGGTAAAATTTAAAAATCCAGAGAAGGGAATATGTAATTGGGGGTGGGGCAGGTGCTGGTTTTGGACAGGGTTGTCAGGGTTGGCTCACTGCAGAGTAACAATTAAGAAGGAGTTGGCCATTTTAGCCACATATGAGGGGGCAGAACATTCCAAGTTCAGAAAGCAGCCTATGCAAAAGCCCTCCAATGAGAACTTTGTGGACCAACAGCCTCCCTGCCCAAGCAGAGAAAGGCAGAGAGCGGCAGAGCGTGAAATGAGGCCAGAGTGTGAGGTCAGAGCGTGCAGGGCAGGCTCTCGCAGGCCTCCATAGGCCTCACAGACACTCCAAGGCCTAACAGAGGTTAGAGCCAAGGAGTCCCGTGCTCTGACTCATCTCTAACAAGGAGCAGGTAGCTGGCTACTGCGCTGAGCACAGATGGAAAGGTGAGTGCAGGGAGGCAGGGAAGAAGTCGCAGGAGCCCAGGTGACAGGTGATGGGGCTCCATTAAGGTGACAGCATGAAGGTGGTTGGGGATAGCACAGTTTTCAGAAGGCAAAGCTAATTCCTCCCGATGAACTGATGCAGGAGTGTGGAAACGGAGCCACTATGTAAAACCATTAGAACTAAAGTAGAGAGTGGAGAATGGCTCCCAGAGTTTGCATTTCATTCATTTTGAGGCACCATGAAAATGCTGAGGTCATTTCTGCGCTATTTGCAATACCTGCAGGCTCTTCCTCAGCCCCAGGCAGGCGTGGCGTGTGCGGGAAGCAACCAATCCATGTGTGTCTCTCCCCCTCCCTTCCACTCTCTCTAAAAATCAATGGAAAAATATCCTCCGGTTAGGATTAACAACAAAACAACAACAAAAAAGAAAGAAAGAAATACCTGCAGAAACGCATCTATCCTGACAGCAGGCAGACACCAAGTAAGGAAGCTACAGCTACCATGCGTTCACTTACAGAGACCACTCTCACCCAATGCACGTGAGTCTCCCCGCTGGGAAATGCAGTTGTTATTAAAAAGGAAAAAGGGGGAAAAAATCTTTAAAAATGTAAGTTTCATACCTGTTCCTGAATCAGACATCCAAAAATTGGGGCTTTCGTCTGGCTTACTGAGGTAAAAAGCATGAGGTGGTGTAGCAGCAGCGAACTCCAACTGCAATTCAAGGGGACAACTGTGAGCTGCCAGCTAAACACCCCTGGCACACACTGCTGACCAAGGTCGAAGCTGGTGCAGAGACCTGCCAGGGGTCCGTGCACAACGCCTGGCTGGCCCTCTGGTTGCAAGAATGCAAAACAACGGGAATTTAACAGCAAATAATTCTCTTTTCCTACATAAGTTAGAAAAGTTAATTCGGGTTTTCTGCGGACCTGAGAGGAGAAAACTGGGAGCAGGTGTTATTCAATGAGATTGGCAGGAAAATGTGTTAATAATTTGCCATCTACTTGCAAAAGAAATGTGAGGTGCCTAGAATTAAAGTCCTTTGGTATAACAATGAATGTAAGAGCTATAATAATTCACCTTATCATTCAAACTACATTAAATCAAATCAACTCTGAAAACCACAATAATTAATATGAACTTTAAATAGTAGACTACATCTTTTTAAAAAATATATTTTTATTGATTTCAGAGAAAGGAAGGGAGAGGGAAAGAGAGATAGAAACACCCCTATTGAGGGATTGAGCCCGCAACCTAGGCCATGTGCCCTGACGGGGAATCGGGAATCTAACCGTCCACGCTCAACCACTGGCCTCCCTGAGGGTTTTTAAAAAACAATGAAATGAATTACTCTCTGTTTAAATGTGACATTTGCAGTTGAAAAAGAATTAGGGCCTTTACAAAACAGTTCATTTTTTCTAGTATTTTCTCCCTAGTTAGTTTTGATTTCTGGGAAAGAAGACTTAGGGCCAATCACTGCGTCCACTCCTCTGTGCCACCAAAAGGCAGAGATGTCAATGGAACAAACTGACCATGACATTTGTGCAGACGAGCAGGCAGGAGACCCGGAGAGACGTGACGCGTCACCCACCTTGTCCACCGGCACTCTCTGGGGCTGCTCCGTTCCTTGCGTGGACTGGGGACACCCCTCTTCGGCATGGGCTCCCTTCGGGTGGTTCTGCTTCAGCTTCTGCGCCCATGATGTTATCGCTTTACTACTTAAAAAGAGAAAACCAAAATGACTCTTTAGGTGTCGTCCTTCCCATGAGAAACTAAATACACGCCGACACCGTATCAGTGGAAAGGGCTCTGAGTTGTTTTCTAAGAGCAAAGGGCGGATGGACATTATGGATTCACCTACATTTCTTTTTCCAGTCTCTCATTCCCAAAGGCAAAATGAACTAAAAGACCAACCGCGATCAGCAGTACATACAGTCTATAGCCGTCAACCAAAGCAAAACCACGCAGCGACGCTTCAAGGTCTAAATCTACCTCTACAGTGAGCACATTTATTCCCATGGACTCATAACTACTGTGTGTGCACAACACTGGCTGCTCTGGCTGCACACCTTACTTTGTGGCACGTTTCAGAGATACAAAACTGGAAATTGAGGGGAATCTACATAATTTGAAATGATTTTTTGTTTTACAAACATTCAGCTACAGTTCCTTTACTAAAAAGTCCCTGGGTTAATCAAAATGTTAAACTTACAAATCTCTTCTTATATATAAAAAGACACACAAAATCAAGTATGCTTGTGTATAATTTTTTTAATAAGATATAAAGTTTTTATTTTATATCATACCTGGAAGCAAGATCTCAACAGTCTGAGAAAATGCTTCTTGCTTGTGTATAATTTTTGATTTCCAATTACATAAACATGTGTAACAAAATCCCATTGTTGACATAGTCCTATACTACCATTCTGAGCAAGTTTATAGTGACTAGAAATCCTAGAAGACTTTTTTCTGGCAAGGCCTCCCTCCCACCGTAAGGGTTTAGTAGTCTTATAACATTGCAAATGGGAAGAGCCCGGCCTGGGTGGCTCAGTAGTTGAGCATGAACCTACGAACCAGGAGGTCACAGTTCCGTTCCGTCAGGGCACATGCCTGGGTTGCGGGCTCGATCCCCAGTGTGGGGCATGCAGGAGGCAGCAATCAATGATTCTCTCTCATCACTGATGTTTCTATCTCTCTCTCTCCCTCTCCCTTCCTCTCTAAAATCAATAAAAATATGTTAAGAAGAAAAAAAAGGGAATAATTAGTATATACTGTGCTTTGTTTATTCCAACTTCCACAGGCACTAACTGAAAGACTTTGGTAAAACAGATAAATGTTCAAATGCATCTCATTCTATTACAGTTCAACGAAAAGGAGCTTTATCTGCTAGATTCTAAGTGTATTAAACAAGTAAACGCCCCTCAAATGATGCAGAAACTCTACTTACCTACTTGTTTTTCCACTGTACACTTCCAAAATCTTACTTTCACCGAGAAACTTGTGTTCAAAATCACCAGGAAAAATGGAAATGTCTTCCTTCAACGAGTCACTGAACTCTTGGGGAGAATGGATGTAGAAACGCTTGTGCTTTCCACCATCCACAGGAGACGAGGTCTGCACGGCTGGCGCCCCGCACTGCCCCGCCGAAGCCTCCGTGTGCTCCATGAACTCCTGGGGGCCCTTAGACGTGTAGGTGTTTAACTCGGAGACACAAAAGGTCCCATAGCCACTGCTCACTGAGCTGCTGTCCACATTGCAGTCTGGTTGTGACGGGGAAGTTTCCTGCTGCATTTCAGGCTCTTTGGACTTTGGGTAACTGAGGACAGATTCATTTCTGTCACTGTTTTCAGAAAAGAACCCCATCTGCCTTTCTGAAGAGAGGTGTTCGCTCAGAGAACTTCTGTCATAGGAAGCCCGCGAGGCATTGCTGCTCTGTAACTTGACTAAATTCTTTATTTCCTCCTGGACCCACTGAAAATAAAAAGTGACGGGTTTAGGTAAGAAAGTATATTAAATATCACACTTTTATAAATGGTATGAAAATAGTGTTCAAAATACGATATTACTCTAAAGATAATCCACATGTTTTATCTTCAGTTTATAAACAAAGTTGATAGAAAGTACATATCTTACATCTAACAAGACGTCCGTGTAAATAACAACTTACTTGGACTTGGTTGTGGAACTGTTCCTGCTGGGCCGCTATCTGTTCTTGGCACTGTTTTTCCACCAAGTTGAATAGCTGTAACCACCTGGCCTAATAATTACACAATATTTTAGTTAAAGATCATTTTTAACCTAATATTTCACAGAAAAATTCCTCCAGTAGGATAGGGTCTTTTTAACAATGTATTTTTAATGTAAAATTTGTAAGTGGAATTAAATAGTTGTAAAACCATATTTAATATAAAAATACAAGTTCATAGGCTTGGGGACCCCTTTCTCACGGGGTAAATCTTCATTTTCCAACTGGCATCTTAATCTGATGTTCTCTGTTATCATTTTGGATTGAATAAGAATGGGTAGGGGCACCTTACAGTTGTCTCATAACAACTAAGGATTTTCTTAACAGTGACTTACATTCCCAAAAAGAATCCCACATCTTAAAACAAGAAATCGTTTGGTATTATGAAATTTCAGCCCCTAATTTATTTGTGTAAAAACACCTTTTTAAAGTCGGGTATTGAAGAGTTTAAAGCTGTACAGCTGAAAAAGGACTAAAAACCCCCGAGCTGGCCTACGACCCTTCCCAGCCTGTTTAGGTCCTGACCCACCGGCCTCCCCAGAGCAGCTAGTGCTCCTGTAACTGGCCGGCCGCTGTGCTTTCAGTCATGGACACGCAATAACCTACAACGTCACAGGGGCGGCCATGAACGCGGCTGCCCTGGGTAAAGCCTCCCAGGGTCTTTCCTACCATTCCTTCCCGGCCCTGCCCGACCTGGCCCCCACACCTGCACCCCCTCTCATCCTCTCTGCCCCTTGCTCAATACACACCAAAGTCGCTGGCTTTTCTGTCTAATCACGAATATGTTGTTAAGACACACTTCTCACCGTCTTTTTCACATTCATTCAATATCATTCCCGTTAATAAATCCGGTCACTTTACTTTAGCACTAACTTCAGTGTCATGCGCTACAGGATATCCATTTCTAACAATTCAGACTTACATAGAGGCACATTTATAGTTATTTTAAAATTCAAAAAAACAAAACAAAACTAGATACCTCGCAGTTTTTCCAAAGCTCCGCGTCAGTCCTCCCGCTGTGCTGTAGCTCTTGCATGAAAGAGGTGAGGGCTTCACCTGTGCCTTGAGTTACGGCCGGTCTGGTCTTCCCTGAGAAAGAGGATACCCCATTTGTACTAAGGTGGGGGCTACTTCTGTTGAAACATAAATAATTCAAATGGTTTTCCTCATTCTACCAGAGTGTTGAATAATTCAGCAGTTCAAGATTTAGCAGAGCAGTACAAACCACTGATATTTAATCCTTCTTAATGGCACTTCATTTGTTGCAAATCTGATCAGAAGTTTGCCCACGAAAGAAAAATAGCAGTAAAAAGACAGGCAGCATTTAATTTTTTTAAAAGAACACAACAGAAAGGCCTGTTTCAAAAGTGAGAGGATACTCGGAAGTCCCAGCGGAAAACAAAAGTTTCTGCTAAACAATAATAAGCAACACCTCCAGCCCCACTCCAGCCCCTCGGATCTAAATTATTGCAGAGGACTGTTTGCCCCCTTTAAGAACAGCCCCTCATTGTAATGAAATTCTTCCCCCGACATCCCCCATTGTCCAGAATGACAGTGGAGTCTTGTTCATTGGATCCCTCTAATTTGGCGTGATAAGCTGATGCTTATCTTTGCCCATCTTTGAATAAAAGTTGTGCCAAGCAAATTAGCACCAAATATTCAGGATGAATTTAGCCTATTCAGTGTGCAAAATACCACTGATTCTCTCCAGGAGGACTGCCTTTCCAAACTGGAGATGAGTTCATTTCAGATTTGTTTCATACAAACACAAAAAGCATAATTAAGACATTAACATTTATTTAAATTCCAATCGCTGAAAGGCCGTTTTCATTTCTTCAGTGGCACTCTGCTTTGTTTCACTAGGAATGTGTGAGAGAGAGGATACTAATGAAAATAACAGCAAAACAGAATTAGAAGCAGAGAAAATATTAATAAAAATTCGAAGGATAGAAGCACAGAATCTGTTGTCCATCAGAGATTTATATTAACCCAATTTGAATTTGGCCAGTTTAGCTGCAGTTGCAGTGAAAAGAGAGGCAAGCTCGGGTGGGTAATTTTCACTAGAAAGGCACATGTAGGTTGGTTCCCACAGCAAATCCAACACTAGGTTCCGGAAGCGGGCTTCCCAGGGGCCGCAGCACACAGGAAACTAGCACAGGGCCAGCTTTTGGCAGTGGGTCTAGATTATCAGCAGACATCTCTCTGGACCACCTCCCACGCCTGGTTTGTTTCCGGCGCCCTCCTTTCATTTATGCTTCCTCCTATTGTGTGTAAAGGCATTTGCCCCTTTAACAGCAGGCACCAGACTGCCTTTTACACTTCATTGTGCCTTTTTATAGCTGACCTCCTCTAACAGTCCCTGCCTCTTTGCTGGTTTTCAGCTACTGTAAATTTAGAAACCAAGTAATCAAGCTTGTCAGACTATGTACACAATCAGAGTGAACAGGCTCTGATTAGAAACAAACCAAACATGGGATCGTTTTAAAAATAAAATGCATTGTTTGACGGAATCTATTTTGTCGGCTTGGTATGAGGTGTTTTTTTTTTTCTTACTTCCTAGTATTCAACTTTAATTGCTTCTTCCAGATTGGTGAGCTATTTCTGCAATATTAAACATTATTGATCATGTTATCTTAAAAATGTAGAAATAGCCCAGCCGGCGTGGCTCAATGGTTTGAGCATCAACCTATAAACCAGGAGGTCATGGTTGGATTCCTGGTCAGGGCACATGCCTGGGTTGAGGGCTTGATTCACAGTGCGGGTCATGCAGAAGGCAGTAGATCAATGATTCTCTCATCATTGATGTTTCTCTCTCTCCCTCTTCCTTCCTCTCTGAAATCAATTTTTTTAAAAATTGAAATAATATTTAGGCAACTAAATTTTAATGATATTCTTGTAATTTACTGAAAACCAAAAAAAGGTATAAAGACCACTGCAACTAGCAAAAATAAGTTCTTTCTCACCGTTCCCCATGCAAAAGTACATACCTCTGGCAGAAATAAAAAACATGGAAGCACTAAAACTATTCTTATCTGTCCCTGAACAGTTCCTGATCATAATTTTGTTTTATTTTTTAGTGCAAATCAGTAACTATGACACTATTTGGATAAATTGGTAATCTATGCAAATAAGTTAATTTTTATTTGTTAATACATTTTTTAAAAATCTATCTATCCCATTCTTACCTATTAGTACTTAAGTTCAGTCCAAGAGAGTAGGGAGAATTTTTTATATCAGATTCTACAGAAGATGAGGTTTTTTGTAAGGGTTTCACCAGGTCAGCATCTTCCATAGTGGACAGAAATTGTTATGCTCTCTCATTGGAAAGTGTAGGTTCTTTCACTGTCTGAAGAAACTGAATCCGGGTCATCTTCAGATGCTTCATCGTCTACAGGCATTTTCAGTTGCTAACATTCAGAACTGTGAAATATCCTAAGTTCCCAAGACTCTGAAAATGAATGGGGGGAAAAATACTACTAAAAAGCCACTAAACCTAGCAACTATCTCTTCGTAACTTTGGCAACTGTGATCCTTTTATACAGGTCTACATTACGGAGAGCAACATCATTTCCAATAGCCAAAATGCAGAAACAACCCAAATACCCATCAAGTGATGAACGCATAAACAAATGTGGTGTATCCATAGAAAGGAATCTTTTCAGCCATAAAAAGGAATGAAGTACTAAAAAAAGGAATGAAGTACTGAGATATGCTACAATGTGGATGAACATTCTACAATGTGAACCATGAAAACACTATAGGAAGCTCAGTAAAAGACCACATATTGTATGATTGCATTTATACAAAATATCTAGAATAGTCAAATCTACAGAGACAGAAAGTAGATGGATGTTTGCCAGGAGCTGAGGAAAGGGGAGAATGGGAGTGACCAAAACAGGTATGGGTGTCTTTTGGGGGCAACGAAAAGTTCTGGAATTACATAGTGGTGATAGTTGCACAACTCTATGAATATACTAAAACCCAATGAATTGTATACTTTAAAAGAATGAACTTTATGGTATGTGAATTATATCTCAACAAAACTATACAATAGGGGTGGTTCTGCAAAATAGCATCATCTTTTCTAAGTAAGATTTCAGAATTGTATGTGTCTAATAATCAAGGTTCTAGACACAATGCTACTAGGTAACGACTTACATGTCCATTCGTTTAATAAATTCTACAAAGCATCCATGCTTATTGATTTACACAGTAAGTGGATGACAAAGAACTCAGTATTTAACTTGGTCTTAAAAACAGCCGATTAAGCCGTTCACCATGGTTGTTTCCCACCGGCTGGAAGGTGGGGTGGAAGGAATGCATTTTGCACTCCACGGCCTTTTGTACCCTGTGCATGCATTACTTCTTTAAAAATAAACTATTTGCCAGATCAACTAAAACTGAACTGACACTAGGTATACAGAGCCAAACAATATGCCCCCTTCTTAGGAAATTCACGTATTTTAAAAACACATCCAAGACAAAAAGAAAACCTTGCTGCTCACAAAATGTGAAGTTTAGGGAGTGAGATCGAGAAAAGTGATCTAGTGTTCTGGTTCCTCTAGGCTCCCACTTCCCAGGGCCTGGTTTTCACAAAGCACAACCTCAAACGCATCATCTCACGGAGGAGCCACGTCCTTCAGGGACAGGTGTGGAGGCCAAGGGTCACCGGGCCGAACCCAATGGATTTCTCCCCAGTGGCTTCGGCCCATCGCCCACGACAAATGGGGTATTGAAAACGCCGGGGGCTGCGCCTCCCAACTGACAACAAAAACGCCTGGATGCACATCACCTCGCTCTTCTCCCAGAAAGAACCACAAGCTCCCAGAGGACGAGGACCTGCAGCCCATCTCTTCCTCCCCGGCCGAGATCATCCGGATGCAGGAGATCCAGACGGAAAACCACTTTAAATGCGACGACGCTTCGCCACCCGCGGGGTGAGGGGTGAAGGTTAAAGGGGGGAGGAGGGGTACCCCGATATGCAATGCAAAATTTTTTTAAGAAAACGTTATGGGGAATAGATAGCACAGAGACCGTTTTATATTTCACAGCAACAAAATATCATGCTTTTGGTTTCTCCCCGCCCCGACCCCTAGCAAAAAAAGAAAAAGAAAAAGAAAAGAGTTGGGGGAGAAGCGAACGGCTGATGGGGGCCTGATGCTGCTATAAAAGTTAACGTGCAGCTTTGCTTTGCTGGGAGCCCGAGGGGGGAAGGGAGGGGGGATTGCAGAGGTCGGGAGGCCGGACCCCAAAGGCTGGTGCGGGCTCTCGGGTCCACGTGAGAAGGCGAGGGAGGGCGCACGCAGTCGCCCGAACGCAAGGCCGTCGTCCCATCAACTGCGGCCGCGACTCCCCAAGTGAGCGAAGAAAAAAGGGAATTCCCCAAGCCCCCCGCCCCCTGGGGAGAGGCGCTCTGCCATTGGGCCGCGCGGGTGTCACTCAAGGGCACCGACGCTAGAATGGGCGCCCGGCCGCAGGCAAAGCCCCCACACGCCCGAGGGCTGGGGGAGGGCTGCGGCGTGTGGCCGTCGTCTCCCTGGCCCTAGCCCGTCAGCACACTCAGGGCTCCTCTAAGGCCGTGTCTTCTAAGTCTCGTCCCTCCTGCCCCCGAGACCGGCAGCTCCCTGCAGGCGGGCGGCCGCTTACCTGGCCGCCGATTCAATTCAGCGTCGGGCGAGCGGCCTCTCGCGACCGTTAAACTTCAGGGAGCGTGCGCGCGCCCGGCGCCTGGCCGGCGATTGGCCGCTCGGGAGGGGGCGGAGACACTGAGCAGCTGCGCGCGCCGCGACCTCCCACTTCCCTTCCCTCAGCTGGCGGGGGAGACCGAGGTCCAACGCCTGGGAACTGGTGCGGGGCGTGGTCATTGTCAAGCCCTCTCGTCTGATTGGTTCTCTGGCAGCTTTACCGGGAAAAGGCCTCAACTTTCCGCATGCGCAGTTGGTAAGAAGGCGGCTGGGAGCGTCGGCTGAAGCACGGCGCATGCGCAGACGCGAGAGTGTGGTTGCGATCCCTATTCGGCGGTGATTCTGATTCCCCACCAGGTCTTTGGGGGCGGAGGCCGATCGTGGGGTCGGGTAAGTGTCCGCGGAGAAATCGGGCACCCGCACGGTTACCCACGATTGTCAAGGGCTCTGGAAAGGGGACTGGGAGCCCGGACGCCTTGAGTTTTCCGGTTTGCGACTCTGAGTCGCGCAGCCTGTTGACCTGAGGCCCTGCTGGCGGTGCGGTGGAGCCGGTGCAGACACCTGAGCTGCTTTCCCTGCACCTGGTGTAGCCTAGGCTGCGGGGGGTCGGCCTTGGCGCTCTTCAAGGACCGGGGGGAGGGAGGACAGGAGAGGGAAGCCCACGCCCTGCAGAAAACAGGAGAAATGGAACGGTCCCCGTGGACTTGCTCAGCAGAGCCTGATCGCGCCCGTAGCACGCACGCAGCAGGGCTGTTGCAGGCCTGGCACATATTAGGTGTCAGCGTCGCTCCTGTCAGAGCTTTCAAAGGACGAGGGAGATCCCGCGTCCCTCGCCGTGGGCCCCCAGCCCCCCTCGCTCGGTTCCGTCCTCATTCTTCAAGCTGGTGAGCCTTTCCGGTACTTGCAGCTTTGAGATTTCCCTCCAGGCGTCCCGAGTCCACGGCGCAGGGGCTTTGGCTGCCACTTAGAGCTGCCTGAGCGGGCGGGACCTCGGAGCTGTGCCTGCCCTTGGGACGAGGCCGCCCATCGCATCCCAGCCCCCCAAGAATCCGTAGCAATAACGTTTCAGCCGGAAAGCACCCGTCTCCTTCCCAGACCTCATGCGCGCCTGGAGGACTGCAAGCTTAAATGAATCGAACCCCCACCCACCCCACATTTTGTTAATCCACCCGCCGATATTATGCTCGTGTTGATACCTAACCAAAATCCAAATTATTATTATTTTTTAATATTTTTTTTATTGATTTTTTACAGGGAGGAAGGGAGAGAGATAGAGAGTTAGAAACATCGATGAGAGAGAAACACGATCAGCTGCCTCAGGCACACCCCCTACTGGGGATGTACCCGCAACCAAGGTACATGCCCCTGACCGGAATCGAACTTGGGACCCTTCAGTCCGGAGGCTGACGCTCTATCCACTGAGCCAAACCGGCTAGGGCCCAAATTATTTTTTAATGGTGCTTTTATTTCATTCTTTTAAATGTGTTTTTATTGATTTGAGAGACAGAGGAAGGGAAAGGGGAGAGAGAGAAACATCCAGAGAGTAACAGGGATCAGCTGCCTCCTGCACGCCCCCCACTGGGGACTCTGCTCTGAAACCCAGGTATGTGCCTGGACTAGGGATGGAACCGGCACCCTCCTGGTTCGTGGGTCCACGCTCCACCACTGAGCCACACTGGCAGGGTGGAGTCTTTAAATTGACAGCTATGGCGGAGATCTTTCCATCTTTTACATTGACTGGGATAAGATCAGGCTATTCGGCAACAGTGGCCGATAATAGCTAGAAAAATGTAGTGCCTGTTAACCAGGGGATTATTTTGTGTCATTGGTTTTTATATACAAAGTTTGTCATCGGGGGACCAGTTCTCCACAGCAAAAGAGGAGGAACTCTAAAACTTTAAATCTATAGTTTACTCATTAAATATGGAAGGAAGTGATGAGGTATACATTTAAATACGGATTTTTTTCATCTTTCCCGAGCTTCATGACTTTTCTTACCATATTAGGTAATCCCTAAAGATCTCTAAGTTTGAACCAGGCCTTGTTTGATGAAGGTGGTTTTTTATCTTTCCATTTGAACCTGCGGGGAAGTCCAGCTGTGCTCCTGGCATCATAATTTGTTCCTTGGCACCTGCTTTCCTGGACCACAATTATGACCTCACCTAACAGTATGTCTTTGGTACTTTCAAGGTTGCCAAGTACTTCTTGAATGGGACCATCCCCAGTAAAATAATGAGCAGGTCGCTGTTCTAGAAGCCTTTTCGCTCTGAGCTCTAATCAAATAAACGTCCATGAAATCGTGAGTTTGCAGCGTGGGTCTGTGCGCTGAGACCACAGTGTGTGTGGTGTGTCACGGGTTGCTGAGCTCCGTAGTGTAGGGATCCGAAGTGCTCACTGCTTCACATTTGTGGCGACATGTGATTTTTCTCACCCCAGCTGGTACTACTACCTCCGTCTTACAGATGAGCAAACATGGCCAGAGTTGCATAGAGAGTTGAGACACTGACACAGGTTGCGCTGACTACAAAGCAAGATAGCCTTTCAGGGGCCAAAAAAATGAGAGGAAGAGTCAAGAGAAAGTTGAGGAAATGAGCTAACTTTAAGGAGCTGGGGAAAGGACGGGTCTGGAGATGTTACAAAAGGTAAAGAAACAAGCTGTAGAAAGGACCTATTTAGTTTAAAAAATGGACCAGCTGCCCTGGCTGGTGTGCTCAGTGGTTAGAGTGTTGGCCTTCGAGCCCACTTAGGGTCGGGAGTTCGATTCCCAGTCAAGGGCACGTACCTGGTTGCAGGTTCGATATCCAGCCCTGGTCAGGGTTCCTGCAATAAGCAACCAATCAATGTGTTTCTCTCACATTGATGTTTCTCTTTCTTCCCCCTCCCTCCCTCCCACTCTCAGCAAAATCAATGGAAAAAGTATCCTCAGGTGAGGATTGGGGAAAAAAAGGGGCAGGGGGACCAGCTAATGTTCTTCCAAGATAAGTCTGAAATAACGCACATAGTAGGCATCACTTTATTTGTATCTAATACACTCCTACTTGAAAGTGCCTTTAAGACTTTTAAGTCCCAGACAAACAGAAGCCATCATTATGGTAATAGAGGCGTGAGAATTTTTTAGGAGAAAATGTAGAGGATGGTTATTGCTGGTTTTTTATGTGCTTCTGTCTCATTTTAACAGCCTGGGTGTAAGTTATAAAGTTCCTGTTAGATGCCATAAATAGAAGACAATCATGGTGATGCTCATGAATAGGACGGGTGTCATTCTCCATGGGGTCAGAGGTTTCTGTTTAAAAGAAAAACTGAACGGGACGTTATGGGATGAATGGAAAGCTTTTCTCCTGATCTGCTTCATTGTTGCCTCTTGAACCGCAGCAAGAAGCCTATTAAACTTCGACCAGACCTAGAGTAGCCTCTCCCTCTCCCCCCCAAATCCAAGATGATAACTGCATTTCCTGCTCAACCCGTTATGCTTGTCTTCTTGGAGAACCAAGTCTCTGTGACACTTCCTGTGGGAGAGGCGCTTCATCCTCAGGGTAAACTGAGCCACGGAAAGGCCAGGGTCTGCTTCGGGCCTGAGCCGGCCCAGTGGCTCCATTTGGGAGGGGCTCGCTCTCAGAAGGGTTCCAGGCAACTAGAACAGGAGGGTGAGCCGGTGGGAAAGGCAGAGGGAGGCTGCTCGATCTGACCTCCCATTCTGCAGGGAGCACCAAAACTCACCTTTGCAACATGAATTAGCATTAAGCATTTCTCAGAATCCTCCTCTCACGGAGCCTCTGGTGCCATCAGCTGGCCATTTTGACTTTAAAGCTGCAAGGTTGCAATCAGCCTTTTCAAGCTCACTGGGCTTGGTCTTTGCCCATTGTTCTGAGACCTGTCTTTTTTTATTTTTTTCATTGATTTCAGAGAGGAAGGGAGAGAGATAGAGTGATAGAAACATCAATGATGAGAGAGAATCATTGATCGGCTGCCTACTGGGGATCAAGCCTGCAACCCAGGCATGTGCCCCAACAGGAAACCTAACAGCAACCTCCCAACTCATAGGTCGGCGCTCAGCCACTGAGCCACGCCGGTCAGGGGGCTGTTTTACTGTTTTTGATGGGACTACTAGGACAGTTAGAGTCCACACGTGGCTTGCGTTCTGTGTGTACCAGGCAGCGCTGTTCTAGCACATGAATGCATGGGAGCCAGCGTTTCGGGGGTTCATTCTTTAGGTGACCCAGCTTCTTCATCCCCTTGTTCCCATTTCACCTGTTCTGTGAACTCAAATCAATAATCGTTTCACTCTTTTCTCTAAGTAGCTTCACCCAGCTCTCTCCTTCCCACGTCCTCCGTCTCTTTAACGTCCTGATCTTGGGGTTTTCACCCTGCAAGTGGGACACTCCGACAAGCCTTGCTCAAAGCCCTTACCTGGGCCCTTGAAGTGTGTCTCCTGGGCCAGCAGTACAGCCTCCCCTGGGAGCTGGTTAGAAATGCAGACCCTCGCCCGGCCAGAGTGGCTCAGTAGTTGAACATCAACCTGTGAACCAGGAGATCACAGTTTGATTCCCGGTCAGGGCACATGTCCTGGCTGCGGGCTCAATCCCCAGTGTGGGATCGATGATTCTCTCTCATCATTGATGTTTCTATCTCTCTCTCCCTCTCCTTTCCTCTCTGAAATCAAATTTAAAAAAAAATTTTAAATGCAGAGCCTCAGGCCCTGATGACCAGTATCTCCTCTAACAAGGTCCCCAGAGTGGGTGTGCACCCGACAGGTTGAGTGGTGAGGACTTAACCCCCGTCTTTCCTAAAGCCCCATCCTGGGTCCTCTCCACATCTGCTCCTCCAGTTCGATTTGAGGACACTTCTGTGAGGTCAGAACGAGGGGCACCTAATAGAAGCAGGTTCCAAGGCCCGTTGCAGGCCCTGCAGGTGACTTGGGCCATAGAAAAAGCGTGAGAACCACAGCTCCGTAGCAGGTCATCCATTCCGGCCCATCCTGATGGACATCTTACCTTATCTTTTATGCTCCAGGCCCCTTGGGCTCCCCATG